ATTTCTGATTTCTAACAAAAAGGGAACTAGGCTCAACTTTTTTAATAGCAACTTGCAGGGGACGAACAATTTGCTTGGTTGAAATATTAAATTACTTTCGAATAAGTGCGAAACTGCTGCACTAATTTACTGCTTATTTATGTTATCGAGGATATCTTTGTTACAGTCGGAGAACCCTGGAAATGATTTTTATGAAAGCGCCACACAGCCACAAGAGCCGAACGTACTTTTTAAACTGTTGAAGTTGGTATCTGTGGTTTATATTAGTCAAGGTAGGCGAAAGAGTTTATATGAATAGAAACCAGTGCACGTCGAAAGCGTACTTACTCGTTGCATAGTAAGCGAGTCGGGAAAATTTAGTTTTCAAGAGCATAAAAGCACTGAACCATTAAATAATCTCACCTTTAGCTAAGGAACGAAGTTTTAAGCAACGCATAAGAGTTCGTTAAATAAATTTTAAAGCAAAAACAAGTGTTTTTGGTGCATCACAGCGAATAATTGTCTAAGTAGTTTTTTTGATATATAATAGTATTTGAAACGAATTAACGTTTAACAACCAAGAGTACCTCAACAATTAAGAGCAAGTAGAAAATGCAACTGCGCACTAGTAATTGGTGCTGTTTTAGCAGTCAGCTGTAGATTTAGGTAAAGAGCGCAATATTTAAGAAAAAAAAGTGAAGGAATGTTTAAGTGACAATTGACAAGTTTACCAAAGTTTATTAAAATACTGTCTTCAACTTCAACAGTAATTAAATTTCTAAATTTTGTTTAAATAAGCGATATTTCAAGACATTTTTCTTCAATCAACGGATCCTGAGTAACATGGGACGTAACGATCAGAACTGACAAAGGTCCAAATACCATTACAAAAAAAGCCGAATCCGTATTAAAGGACCGGAAATCTTCTATCCAAAATTAACCAAGCTGGTTAGTTAAAGTGACACTTTCTGCCCGCTTGATCTGTGCATAACTGAGTATTTTAGAGTAGGCAATAGACAAAAATATTTCGCAGTTTGGCCTTTCAAAAAGGAAACAGAGGTAAGAAAAATAACCTTGATGCAGATCTTTTGAATTTGAGTGCTCCTTACTCGTCACAGTGACCAACAATGAACTGATATGTTGCAAGTTTCTTTAAAAAGTGAGGCCTGTCGATATATTCCACGAAATTATGTATCGACTGTCTTAAACAAAATGGAGGGTAGTTTGAACACTTGTTATAATGATTCGGTGGTTTCCACTTCCTTTTCGACTTTCCAAAACTAATTTTGTTGTCTGTTCGGCCTCAGATTTCCATTATTTTACATCATTAAGGTGAGCATTGATTATTGATGTCACTTACTTTCTTCTATGGATCAATGTACACAATGGGGGTTTTCCTACACCTTTGTAAATGAGGGAATATTTAGTACTTGAGACACATGATTCAAAAACTTTTCTAAAACACCAAATCTTCAATATTTTTAAAACAAGACACTATCACGGCTACTATGAAAATATTTCGATTTCTTGGTATCCAATTTTGAATAAAAACCGTGATTGTTCGGAAAATGTCATTTTACATTTCACTATACATTATAAGCAAGAAAATGCAACAGTTAATGGCAGGAACAATCCGTCGAACCAAGAACAGACAAGAAACAGGTTCTAATGCGAAAATTTGTCCAAGATTACCATTCTGGGTAGTTAAAGCCCTACACTGAACCTTAATTAACAGTGTGAAATCAATCTTCAAAATAGTAGGAATAGTAGAAGGAAAATTTGGTATTTGACAATAAAACTTGAAACAACATGAAATAAAACTACTGGAGATTGAAAAAGTGCCTTGGTGCGAACCAAACTTTCATTTCCGTCCACCCCAGATTCTTTTATTATTGTCTTAAATTTTAAATCGAGACCGCAAAAATTAAGCCGTTTGGGTCGTTACAATACCAAACCAAGCCCGTACAATGTCCAAAAGTTGCCATTCACGAGCCGTGACATTCTTAATGATTCGCGTTCATTAATCATATTTCCCCAAAAACGAAAATTCGTCGTGCCCCGTAGAATTTCCAAACAACAAAAGTATCCTTTAAAGCGCAAAAACCTGCCGAACAATTCCGCACAATGGAGTCTGTCTAATTCACTAGCCAGTTCACGTCAAAGGAAAAAAGGGAAAGCGAAAAAGACGGAAATGGAAAAAACCACGATATGGCCGATTTTTTGAACAATTTCAATTATGTGACTTCCATTTCCTGAGAAAATGCAATGAAATCTAAGAGCTATAGGCGATCAACTACAATGCCACGTTCCACGGTCCCAGCGGAGAAAAACATAATGGATTGAGGTTCGCGACGAGCGGCTTTGCTAAAAGCGTTTCATTCATCTTTAGACTTTAATTCGTCTCGCTGTAATATTACATTTTATTGTTTACTCCTCCGCTCGAGAGGTACATTAAAACTCTCATTCGAACGTTTATTGGAACTGCTTAACCTAAATCTTTCCGGGATGGAATTTAAATTTGAAAATGTAATTGTTTTCGTAGGCGGAATTATACCAGAGGTATTTACTCAGTTAATAAAACGAGAGTGTTTATTTGAAATTTATTTTCTAACTTTTGTCTGCTAAAATCTTATTTAAAACCTATAGTTACAAAATACGTTTATTTCCTTCGACAAAGGACTTCTTAATACTAACCTAAAAAAAAACAAAAATCACCTACTCGGTAGAAAGTTTTTCATATTAAAGATTTGCACGTCTTTATCTTATTAAATTTGGTATATTAAATAGTAAGGGCCCTAAATTTAGAGAAGACCGGAAAGCCAATTTCGATTTGTAAATATTCGTGCGGAAGTTAAAACAACTTCTGGTATATAATCTACATTCAATGTAACTTTTTTTGGGTTTTTCAGCAAGAGATGTTTTTTAAAACAATAAAAACATCTGCAGCGAGAAATAGACACCACATGGTAGCCTTACGTCAGCTATTCGATTTTTAGAACTGATTCTAATTGTCTGCAAAACATAGCTTTTAGGGTTTACTCTTGATATGAGCAATTCACAATGCATTTTCCAGTTAAGACTTTTATTAATATATATATATATATATATATATATATATATATATATATATATATATATATATATATATATATGTATATATATATATATATATATATATATATATATATATATATATATATATATATATATATATATATATATATATATATATATATATATATATATATATATATATATATATATATATATATATATATATATATATATATATATATATATATAATTTATATTGTCGCTAAAAGGTTTCTTTTCATTGTCTAACTCATTTCATTTATTTGCACTGTTTTGCTTGTATGCCTGTGTGCCTATTGAACTATACATTAATTTCCATTAATCAATTGATAACCAAATGAAGGAACCCTTGTTATAGGCGGTCGTACATTAGCAAGGATGTTTCTCAAACGTTCATAACAACTTTTACTTACTTTACCTACCAATGTTTGACAAGAACCTTTTCAAACGCTCTGTATGAATAAGAGCTAAGCACTGGTTTACTAAAAATAGCTTAACCCTTAACGAAGGGAAAACATTTTCTTTAATCCCCTCTCAAAGGCAAATCATCGAAGTAAATAATGGACAAAGTGCAAAATTCTTGGAAATTCATATACACCCATGGTCTGAGACCAGGCTGCATATTCGCCACATTCGCCTACAACGTAAGGTAATTAGGGAAATATTATGTTGTGAAATTGTTATTCCATGTTATATTTTATTGCTATGACTGATTGTATATATTTTGTATGTTTGTAACATGCTAATAAATGCAATAAAAAAAAATCTAGGTGCTTGGTTGGGACTCTGTAATGAAGATTTCCTCGCTAACATAACTGTCTAAAAGTTAATATCGTACAGACTGTTCAAGAAAATTCTTAGACATTTGTTTATCCGTAGACGTGGAAAAAGACTATAGTTTTCCCAAGAAACGATTTATTTAGGAGTAACATTTGATCACAATTTAGTATATGACGGCTCAAAAACTAAAAAAGAAAGGAATAGTAGCTGAATATATGAACCCAACAACAGAGTTCTAATCGTAGATCACCGCACCAGAACACTACGGAATAAAACAATCGCGATTTTCTTACCTTTAATGCGACGATTACAAAAATTAATGGGTTGGTACCGTTTAGAATGAAATTTAATGAAATTGTATTACTTGAACTTCTGGTATAGTTAAAAATGACATTCGTGTAAATTTAGTCCAATTCCCATATAAATAAAATCAAGTCAAATATATGCAATTTCGCAGTTGATATCAGTTCTTGGAAAAATAGGAAAATATATTGCTCACATGTGGTGTTCATGACTCTTTCCATTATAGTTGAATTCAGCTACATCAAGAAAGAAAGGTTGCAGGCGACGTTGTAAATAATAAAATATAAACATATCGGAAGTCCAAGTGAAGTAAGTCATTTCAATATTATGGGCCTCTAATTTTTTGTTTCAAAAACCAATTTATTTAATGTATAAGGAAACGGTTTTATACCTTCACAGACATAACTAGTAATTGGACCTGTGATAATAGTATATTATGCAACGAGTGCGGTAAACGGCATTTGACTCACGAGTTTATTTGACGCGAGCGGAGCGCAGCGGAGCGAGTTTTTAATAAACGATTGAGTTCAAAAGTTTACCGAACGTGTTGCATACTATACTTTTTCTACGACCGTTACTTTTTAGGTAAATTTTCGCAAAACAACAGGAATACATTCACTGACATGACCGTCAGAATTGACAAACGTCAAAATTCAAAGCGTGGGAAATATCTCCGAAAACATCCGATTGCTTATAAATCCGTGCGGTAAAATCCCGGAAATGTCAGAAGTGGCCCGGAATCATGGGAAAGGAAACTGACCTGGTAAAGTGACACTTAACGCACGCTAGATCGATAGGTAATTAGGTATTTTACAGGCGGGAGTAGAAAAATATTTTATACTTACCTTTGTACGTAGGTGCCCAAACAACGGCGACAAAACAATGGAGAGTTGATTGATTCCAAAACAAAGATTAAATTTTTCCAGAATCTCGGTTGTGCCTTTGACAACGTGTACGCCGCTGTCTGTTTAAAGTATTCTTCGCTCGGACGGATAGACAAAATCAGCCTAAGGGAAGAATATTAATTATAGTGGTTTTAAGGACGCTTACTTGCTTTACAATAAACGACAACCTATTAATTTCGTCGGCTAAATTCCAGCACTTTTCCGTCATTTTCATTTTATCCAATTAACGCGATTTGGGGTAGATTTTTATAGTACATTTTAATTACGGAGCACGCCAACGCTTTTGTTGTTAAATTTTTATCTGGATATTTATTAATGGTGCATGGAAGTATATAAGTCAAGTGAATTTATTGTGGTACCATTAAACTAAAAGGTGAATGATTCCCATTATTATACTAGTAAAAAAATAGAAAATAAAAATGACAATTTCAATATTTTTTGCAATAATGCTACAACTACCAAAGATACTCACTCAAATGGACTTTATTATTATTTTGTTATACCTACGATTTCCGTAATAACTAAATAAATAATAAAAAAAATGATAAAATTCAACCACTATAAAAAAATTGAGAAAGAAAATATTTGTCGTCGATCTTTTAGTGGAGATATACTCGGTTCAGACATATTTTTAATGCATATTGCATATTGATCATCATCATTTGGAACTATAACTTCAGCTTTGTTATCCTCTACAATACACTGCCACACTAAACGGTTTGCATCAATGACCTGTCCTAGGCGTCAACTTTTCCTACTACCAAATGGTTTCTTAAACTCAGTTCTTCATGTGACCCAAAATAGGAATGCATTTACTTTACGAGTATTTGGTTTTCAATCATTCATCTTAGGGTCTTGCCCAGCAGATATTATATATTTACTTTTATCATGCTTACGAAAACTAATGACATAAATAATTGACACACTTTAGGAGTAATTGCATCACCCGCATTGCGCGATAAATAATTAAACTTCTTTGAGATTGGTTTAAGCCGCACTAAAAACCAGAGACTCCTTCTTTAGAAAGGCTATTAGTTGATTTTGAGCCACGAAGGATAGAAAAGCATCCTTTTAAAAGGAAATTTTAACAAGAAGCACTAGCGAAAAATGCCGATAAAGGAGTTTTGAAGATTCTGTGCTCGCTCGGGTTCGACAAACGCAACGGTAAAATTAAAAAGTCACTACTGATAACTTATATAACGTCTTGATTATTTACATTTGCGCACTTCAGCTTCTGCTTGCGACTGACCCTGGCGGGCTTTAATAGAAAGCAGCGTCTGCTCGCGATTAGGGTCTAGAGAAGCGGCGTCTGTGATCTCGCTCCGATCCACATTTTCAATGTAAAATTCTATATTTACTCCTTACTATAAGAACCTTAATTATGCACTGATCAAAATGGAACTTTAGCCCGCCAGCTTGTGAATGCGACTATATTAGTGCTCTTTTAAAAAAAAAAAAAAAACTAAAATGTGCAACGCAGTGATGAACTTCTTCACTCACCCGTTTATTAAACAGTAGATCCGCTAGTGTCAAATCAGTCGTTACTAAAGTGGACTTTATCAAACTTGTGGCATAATAATATAATGTAGCAGAATTATATGGTGATATATACTATTGCAAACAAGAAAACTAGCACCTAATATCTTCATAACCTTCTCAGACAAATTTGTGTAGTATTGTTGTTTTGCTTGTTGTTTCGGTTTACGAAAAATCTCATCTCTCTCAACATTACGGATTTACATAACGTGCTTTATTTTTAGCGCAATTTCAGAATTAATACTTTCGGTGCCATATCGTTAATTTGTAACTCGCTAAGTATTAGTCACGCAACGCTAGGTTGCTCTCATGGTTCGTTTAGCAATTACCTATTATTTCGTATTCCAAGTGTCGTCTCCGGTAAATATTTTATTTCCACCAGCCGTTTATCCCAGTTTTTGCTTTTCGATAAAATTTTCCAAGGTTAAAATAAAAATGCTAACAATATTTATTAATTGGAATTTTTTGTTTTTTTTTAATTGTTCGATTTATAAAATGTGTGAAACTTCACACCATTCGCTTTTACAGAGACCTACACTGTGTACATAACAATTGACGTTAAATTATAGCTTTAAATTAGTGGTGCTAATTTTGATAAAGTTTTTTGAAATTACAAGGATCTTCTAATTTGAAGTCACTTAATAAAAGACTTGCAATACCATGTCCTGCGTTATCACATCATTTTTGCTCTTTTTTTTTAATTATTTTTTATTTTGCCACCTTTCGTAACGTAATAACAAACGTTATATTTTTTGTGATAGTGTTTTCCTTACGAAAAATTCCATTAACTCGAATATCAAATCTCAAACAAAGTCAGATAATCTTTTACTTATTTTTTTACTTAATTTGTATTTTCTGGTTTCATTGCTACATTTGGCATATGTCTTTTCGTGCTTATTTTATTTTGTTTTCCTATTTTGTTCGGTAGTCACCTATATCATTATTTGAGGCACTTTAACGGCTCAGTACACTACGTACTTAGTTATTTATTGCTCCCAAATCACAAAAAGTGTTAGAACGGGAGAGGGTTTTATCATATTTTACAGCTACACTCATGGTGGTGAAAGAGACTACATTACACTTGGTTGTATTAAGTTGCAATTATGTCGTTCGCATATATTAAAAAACTGACGTCAAGGTCTTTACCAATGTCATTAATGGAAATGTTGAATAATTATTTCTCCAATATTGAGCAATGAGGAAGGAAGTGTGACACAGATATAATCGTATTGAGTGCGGTTAGACAAATATGAATTAGTAGATTAGAATTTTGCGATCTAGGCGATCAAACGCTTTGGATATGACGTCCATTTGAGAACCTTCACCATTTCATTAAAACGAATATATATTTATCCTACTCACGAGAGAGAATATGTGGACATATTTTCTTGCTTAATGTTACGGTTGTGTCATAATTTCTAAAATTTAACCAATTGCCTATTATTCTCATCCACTTAATATCTTAACATAATTTGTTTAACTGCTTTTATTAGTACTAGTGGTTGTGAGTATATTTTTTAAAAGGCACTTGGTTCTTTTCAATCGGTAGTTCAAGCAACTTACCACGATCTAAAAAACTTTATTCCACTTATATTTTGTTACCTTTGTTTCAAAATTCTGTAACTAAATATTGTAAAATTGTAATGAACTAAAACACTTAATGGAAATGAATTATCTATCGCAATAAAAAAACAACATAGTAACGTGTTGTTATTGCAACAGAAAATTTTGGAGACGTTCTCTGTACAATGCCTTCCTTGTCGTTTTTGCAGTGCGGTTGGCCGGTGAAGGAGCTGGTAATTCCATTTTCATTTAGCTAATAGTTCACAGCAGACGTTTGTTTACTAGTTTTTCATAATACCAAGCAGGATGATTTCGATAACATCTACAAAAAAAGGAAATTTGCAATCTGGACCTTTACTCTCGTATATTGCAAATTACCATATTTCGCACGTTTCCTTTCTTTTATTGTAGCGGTGGATGCCTTACGACTTGCATGTATAATATATCTGCAACACCGGGAACTTGGTGACTAAGTGTGATCAATCTCTTCGGTGATCGATTATTAAATGGTCCCATCCATTTCAGTTGAATAACTGACGCGATTTAATTATAACTTTAATCAAACAAAGACAATGGAATAGCGAAAGCTATTTTCATCGGCACACTACGTATTATTTACATAAATTTTGAAACGCGGTAAACTAAAGTACGATCAAATCTACACCGTGACAGCGATATCAAAGCAATTTAAATTTAATTTAATGTTTGAATGCAAATCAAATTCTCTAATGATTTTCCAATTTGCGGTTAGTGAGGTTGCATTCGGGGAACAGGTTTATTTAATGAAAATCTAATGCCTGTATCGCGGGCAATAAATGTCGGATAACAGCTTAAGGTGCAAACAAACTACATTTCAAAATTTAATTTAAATATTTAACATCGTCACGTATTTTTCGATTCCAAAGCAGGAATATGTGCTTATCAACACATTGTAGATAGAGTTCCTGGTTTATTTGAATTTCTAGCAAAACAACAGGTTATTGCTACAATTTTTTTTTGATATTGTTTAATTTAGGCAAACATGCATATTTTTGGGACTTCCTGAATAAGGTATAAACATAAATTCGATTTTAACGACATAGAATCATAATCGTAATATTGAATACATAATTTATTTCTACTCCCGTCTGTAAAATACCTAATTACACACCGATCTAGTGTGCGGGGAGCGTCACTTTACCACGCCAATGTCGATTCCCACGGATCCGTGCCACTTCGGACATTTCCGGGAATTTACCGCACGGGTTTCGGAGCAATCGGATGTTTTCGGAGATATTACACACGCCTTGAATGTTGACATTTGTCAATTCTGACGGTCATGTCAGTGATTGTATTCATATTGTTTTGCGAAAATGTACCCAAAAACTAACAGTCGTAGAAAAAGTATAGTATGTAACACGTTCGGTAAACTTATTAAGTCACCCGCTCCGTTGCGCCCGCTATAAACTCGTGAGTCAAATGGCATAAAAAATTGTTGCATAATATACTATTTCCTTATTGTCTTTTCTCCTTTTGGATAATAATTTATCCAACTTGCAAGAAAATTGATTGTCCCTTTACACCCAGTTTTTATCAGGTTTTTACAGAAATTCCCTTTTTGTTTTTTCGTTACGTCGGCTTAGCCTCAACGTTCTTGAAGAATCCATTAACTTCCCTTTTATATGCTGAAAAGGGCCGTCAAAATAAAAACATAATAAACAATTTATGTATAAAATTGATGGAGTATGTTACGAGGGTTGTTGCCTGTGCGACGTTGATATTGGCGGTGCATTATTTTCAAAACAGTGACGTGGTTAGGGGAACGGTGTTTTATTGTCGCGTTACATTAAGCGGCATCATCGTAAGTGCCGAAGAACGGCCGGGAAATTCCTTAAAATTACGAACATGCAGGTCTCTATTTAAGCCACGTTAATGCGCGAATTAGACGTACAATAGTGCGACATCCAAAGGCAGCACGAAAAACTTTGCCTCCTTTGCATTTACGACGTGGGACCTCTAATGCTTTACTGCGTACAAAAGGCACGTTTTCCAGTAAGAATTAATTAGAAGCAAGATACGGCCCTGCGATAATAAAGGTCTGGAAGCGAGTTTAACAAGTTCTTGTTAACTTAATCAATATCATGAATATGCATCGATTTTTAATTCTTTGATTACATGCCTGACATAGCAAGCTTGTTAAGCAATGCAGATCGGAGAAGTACTCGATAAGCGAAAAATTGGAAAATTCAGTTTTGATGTTTGCTTGCTTGTTTTTTAACTAAAGATGGAATTTTTATATAAATGATTTCTAAACGCCTTTCCTTTTATATCTTTTTAGATACGTTTTCGGATATATCAAGGAGAATCTCCGAACTTTTTTGGGGAAATAGGATAGAGATAATATTAATCGCGCTATTCTCTTTGGTTCGAAAATTTATAAAATGTTTATTTGTGATTTCGTAATTTATGTAATAAACTGCTATTAATTTTTGTCACACGGGGCATCCACCAGCTCGTCAAGGTCGTAATAAAGACCTTTTTTAATATAATTTTATAATCATAACTCAATAAATAGATATAGAAATTCGATTTATATTTTGAGCGACTCGGGACTGTATCTCGTAAAAAATATATAAATATATAAATTAATTTAATGAAAATAATATAGCCTGCAGATCCAATGCTATGTATGTATTACAATTTTTAATAACTGATGAAGACTTCACTGCATTTTCATCTAACTAATGAACTAAATAGAACCATAATTTCTCTGTTTATATACGATATTACCGATACGTGATTGTAATTGCATGATAATTTCGGGTAGCAAGATATGCCATAAAATGTGCGCAATGAATTCATATTTATAATTTTTATTTTTTTGTAAGATTTTGTTAAATTCAAGTAATAGTAGTGCGCAGAGTCCATATCTGTAAAGCTTATATTTTTTCGATTTTTGCCTTCAAATATTTTTACAAATATACGAATTGTTTGATCGAATAAATTCATATTTCAAAAGGCTGACTTGAAATGAGCGCTGCAGTTTTAGTGTATCAAAGCTGCGAATTTGAAAACTTGCAAAAAAAATCGCGGCCTTAGCTTATTCAATGTCCACTTAGGAAATTTTAATTACATTAACCAATTAAAATTTTAAACACTGCCGTATATTTAAAACGAAGCTCGGGCGTTATCATCCCAATTAACGAAGTTTTCCAATTATTTTATTTTTTAATAAGCTTTCGTTGATACAGATCAAATTTCACAAAAAGAGGACAGGAATTAACTGTTATTTTTCACCCTCAACGGACTCGAAGTCTTTTAATTAATTGTGAATGGTGTTATCCGAAACAAAATTTGCGAGAAAATCTGATCTGATTGCTTGGTAAATTACGAGCTTGTTAATGCGTGTCGCGTATACTTAATGATCATACTTCAAAAATTAATAAGCGCCTTGATTATTTGCAAAGTTTGTTTGTTAATATTTGTGCCCCTTTAACCTCTATTATCGTTTTAATGGTTTCCCCAATTTAAAATGGTTCACTGCTCAAATCTCAAAAACTTGTCAACCTAGATAACAAAAATGATATGTCCACCTGTCTCGTGTTTTGTCTTGATTTTCTGAATTAAATGAAAACAGATTGTGCGAAGAATATAGAAAGCAAAACGCTTTACTTGAAAACGGATTAATTTTTGTTGTGTGTTTATTAATAATATATTCTAAAAAAATATTTTTTACGATTTTTACTAATTTTAGAATTTGGGATTTTCTCTTCCTTAATGAAAAAAAAGCAGATTTTTTTACATTTGCGAAAACCACTTTTGGGTCTACCACCGTCCAAAGTCCTCATTAAGACAAATATTTGAGCTGAAGTACTTTAACAAGTTCCAATCATGCTTGGTTCACGGTTTTAAACAATTTGAAAATATTTTTGAACTACTGCTGGCATCTTATCGAGATTGCGAAACGAGAATGCGTTAGTACGTGCTCTCCAAACGAATAAACTAAATGAACAATCGCACCTCCAGAATACCGGCTGGTTGAAAAAATTTGACACACAACCAAAAATTCTTCAGCATAAACGGAAATAATTAAAAATATTTTTGTAAATATAAAATTTAACTATCACTCGTTTAGTAGTGGTGCTATGTAACCGATATAAATTTGGTGTATAAATGTTACTGGGCAGCAAATGTGCAACAGAGTTTAGCGCAAAAAAAAAAACATATAAAAAACACGGAGAAAAGAAAAAAAAGGAATGGTTTATATTTTAACAAATTTATTGGATATAATTTACATTTAACAAATATACTTAACATGCCACATATTACTCAATATTTTTGATTGCAAAATTTATTTACACTATCAACTACCAGTCTATAATTTATACAGTAGAATATGTACATTCATGACGATAAACTTTAAACCATCTTCCATAGTAACCCTGTCTGCAACAAGGTCGGTTAGCTTAAAATGATATTTATACTTTCGTTTGGCGTTAACTAGCATTTAACTTATTATAAATCTTGGACCTATTTTACATCAACTGTAAGAAAGTTGTTGCTTGTACCACTTCTCATTAGGAAAAAGGGACTGAAATGTTTCTGCATGCAAAATGTTTTACGTATCAGCATATATTTGTGTTACTAGCCAGTGTTCTGCTAAACAAATATGCATTTTTGCCGATAGCTAGGAAAACTAACACTGGTCAGTTGGATGGAGAAACACATAGTTTAGACCGAAATATTTTTCTAGGTAGTTGAATAATTGCTTCATATCCATTTTGTGAAAATGAAACATTAGGCATTTTATCAAGCAGTTACCTGCTAGATAAATAGGTGAAAATGATACCGAATATGTAATTTGCTAGAACAGTAGTTAGGCTTGTCTTTTTATGGAATTACATTTTTCGTGTTTTCGTAAAATAGGACCCAGATACCTTAGGAAGACCTAATGACTGGCACGCCAACATCTATTTTCGTTATAACACAAACATATTGTTCGAATATGCTACATTACTATTCCCTAAACAGCAGTATGAGCACAAATGTTACTTTTTTACTTCAAAATTTTAACTTAAAAAAAAACTAGTTTAGAACCATGCAACAATGTTCACCCTATCCATGTCGATTTGAATAAAGTGGTACAATTAACCTTCAACGCGTATCGCAACGCAAAATGAATGGCAATCAGTAATGTCAATAAGTTAACAGACACGACGCGCCCTTTATTTCGAAATACTGTTAAAAAAATTAAACAATCCCGACAAACGTATTTATGTACCGACTGCGACATTAATACAATCAAAAATGTTTTATACTCATTTCATGTAAATAAACCTCTATGCAGACAAACCATTTGATTACCATCGCCATTGCGTGGCCTGCATTTTAGAACGCACTAATGTAAGCGTAGCAAAAGTTTCAAAATATATCTTAAAATGTGAAGTGATACATTTTGAACTTAAATATATCAAACATAGGACTAATTTTAAACCCTTAACGCTCACAAAATTCCAGGACAAGTTTTAGTCGGCGGTACTCCAAAATCTCTTTATCCAGAAAACAAATTTTAGAGTAAACTTGCCATGTATAGTATGGAAATACAAATATGCAAAATAACAGAAAACATTCTGACGTTGGTGTCACGAGACCCCTCTTGTTTAAATGGGTTATTTACCTGAGAACTAATATAATATTTACGCATTTAAATTTGTTAACAGGGACCAGCGGTCATTATACTGTTAAAAAACGAGTAGAACCAAACGTATTTATGTACCGGCTGTGATCAAAATATTTTATAATTATTTCACGTATATACACACCATATTTAGTTGCCATCACCATTGTGTACATGCATTTCAGAATGCAAACAGTAATATGTGGAATCTTAACTGAAATTGGTAAAATGTGAATATGACTTTAGAAAAATTAACCGGACTAATTTTAAGGTTTCAACCCTAGTCGACAGGACACCCAAACAAGAAGTTTTTTATTAGACGTCAAATACACAGTTTCGTAGCGATTTAATGAAAATCTTCCCACAAAAACTCAGAAAATGACAGCTTCCATAACAAAATGGAGATGCAAAAAATGTTTCTGACGCGCTGCACCTCACGAAGCGTTTAATTAAAGATTAACCTCTTCAAATTTGTTTATACAGAGTATAAACTCCGCATCTATCACGGGATTTAATATAATACAGCTGGTGCAGTATTAGAGGTAGGGACAGACTATATTGTTAGCCTTGCTATGTTTGCCGTGTCATCAATACCCTTAAGTCATTAATTGGTTCATTGTGACGCACCAAACGGTAACAGAGATTTGGTAAATACGGTTTATATCGGCATTCATTATCAGATTGTTCACTATTTTGCCACAAAAAGTATTCAGGAGGTTTCGAAATCGAGAGTTCAGTGGGGGTTGAGTACTGTACGAACATAAACAACATTTGTATTTAGAACACTTTCAATGAGAAAGCAAAGTATTTTTTCTTTATACATAAAATATTTTACTGTGTAAGTGGACGTGATAGGTGCCTCAGAAAATATATAATTAAAACCATGGCCCGAATTTACCATTATAACTAATCCATGAGGATAACCGGGATGAAATGTTAACGTCTAATTAAAAGCACTTGGAGCAATCGAAAAAAATTATTTTTCCCCTCTTTTCTTTATGAATTCCCTATAAACGACATCTTTTGAAAAATGGGAATTTCCTACCGCACAATGGCAAATCCAATTTTTGAGGAAATGCCCTTTTAATACACAAAAAGCGAATAAAAAAATATTTCTCCCGGATAATGAGTTTTTTAATGGAGAATAAAGATCGCTTTGCTGAACCTAAAAAAAAGTGGTTAAACTCGCCACCCCTTTAGCAATTTTTAGGGGCATTCAAACATTTTCCCGCTTAAATATCCTGAATCAATTTGAAGCGTCTGCACTTTAACTCCCCATGTTCCATTTAAAAGGCATCAAGAAATGATATGGCGCAGGTAAATAATTCCCAGAAAAATCTATTACACCGCTCTCAAAAATCTTCGACAAAATCAATAATACAAAGCAATAAGAAAAGGTAGAATTGGCACTGCGAAAGAATTTTCTTATTATTAATCCAAAACCTAATACAATTTTTTTGCCACTACGCCGTCAGACATCTCAACAGCGAATCCGAAACGTTAAGGACACGTGTCAGTAATACTTACAAGGGTCCAACAAAGAAACTTTCCATTTTTTTGGATAAAAAAAACTATATACCGAAAAACAAAAGTTTTAAAATGAGTTTTAGTTTAATACACTTCAAAATTCTATACAATTCAGCCGCTAAAACGCTTCTGGTGTCGTTTTAAGTTAAAGCTGCGGCCTTTCGAAGTTTAAACGTTAAACTAACACATTCATTAAACCGCACGGCCGTTAATCGACGTTGTTTGCGGGTAAACACAATGGTTTTCAATAATGGCTTGTTCACTGCGCACGTACGGTTAATAGTGTTTTTAATTATTCACCTGCGCATATTTCGTCGCTCTATAACTAAACACATCGCTTTAATATCTAACCGTATCCATTTTGACACCGGGAAAGGGTTTTTAAATTCTTGCGACAAAAAATTACTTTTTTATATAAATAATAAAATAGTTTTAGGCAAAAAACAAAATTGGATTTTTGAAACATTTGCAAAGCATGTGCTTTTAAAAATTCTGCCATTTAAGTAAATGCAGGATTTACCTCAGACAGGATACAAGGTTATATTAGAAACTGCCACAGTAAGCACCAAATTATTGCAAAAAAATAAAATTTACATGCAAACTTCTGCGGCTCATAATTTACTGTGTACATTTTGCGTTAATCAATTGATTACACTTCCCCTCACCTTTTAAAGACAATTCCCTTGAAACTTTCTTTTTAAGACTTCCTCACTGCCATGCATATGATTTTGGAAGCGCAAAACTACAAATTTCCTAAAAAATATATATCTGCTAGTTGATTAAAAGTTTGTGTTGAGTTACGAGAAATATTTTTATTTAATGCGTCTCGAAGGTTGTTCCTGAACGAACGTTCCCTCTAGCTTCCATTGAGAATTTTAATCATGAATCATTTTTTGTTCTGGAATGCAGCAGAATTTGCTAACGAAGAATGTCCTGTGATACAATTTCCCAAAGGTTCCTAGAACTGGGGGAATACTATACGAGTTACTTAAAATAATACAGAAATATAGTTTTGCCTTGAGTTTTGGGTACTCGGTTAAAAAAAATAGTTAGGTAAATCGCGGTTAGAACAGTATGTTATATGTTTTTCAAACAAATATTACAGGGTGGATTTGACGTAGCTTAACGTGAAGTAAAGCAAACAATTTTCACTACTGCTCTAATAATTAAAAGGGATGTTTGGAAACTAGTTTGAATTTGTACAACTGATGGTACGAAAAATTGAAAATGGTAAAGTCAATTTAATAACTGGAGTTTAAACAATATTGAATTTCGAAAAAATATTGAAATGGCCATGGACTTTTATTTTTACAATGCCTAAATGGAAAGCCTTTACTAGCAGACATGGCTTCATAAGAATTAGTGATATCCACAAGCGATGGCCGAATTTATGCTCATTTGTGAGCGTAAGGTGTTTAAGATTCGTAGGGAATCAAGGGAAGTAGACTATTGGTCTAGTAGTAGAGTTAATGATCAGTGGATAACTAACCATTTTTTGGAGATACTGAATAATATGGCTGCGAATCGTTGAATAATGAGGAAAGAATGACCGGTTTCTACGTTATGTTGTGATCTTCATAAATCGATGGTATCCCGAACGGTTACCAACCTCAGAGCACGTATCATGCAGAAATGTAATGTTTGGATCAAATTTCCTTCCTTCAATTTCTTTCATCTATTGGTGTTATCGACTGGTACTGGCACTGATACTATACTGAAACCGTTTATTCACGGGGACAAATGTATTAACAGAAAAAACTTTGCTACCATAAATGTGCAGGCAACGTGCATGAAGAGTTCACAAGTGTGGATGTCTTTTGGCCAGGATCTCTACATAGACAAATTTGGATATGCACAACGTCGTGCAATGGAACAGGGCTGATGCTCTTTAGCTGGGAGATTCTGGGTATGGTATAGCTCTCTGCTCATGACTCCTTTTAGGGTTTTAGATAATCCCGAACAAAGGTCATACAATACGTTGTTAACAAAAAGTATCTTCTCTTATCAGGAGTTGCTTCATCTCGGACAACGTGGTTAAACGTGAAGACTTTCATGATGATGTTCCAAAAGAGGGCGAACAAGAAGTGATTGAAAAGCGCGTCGTTTATTTTCTAACTTCGGTATGTTAGATTTCTCTAACGAAACAGGATATGTGCGTCCTTGGAGACAGGTGTTAACACAAGTCAAAACCGGCAAATGAAAGTGCAGACTCGAGAATTTCATTTTAGTTGAGTACGGTCTCTTTTTTTCGTTGTAACTTTTATGCATACTAAAATGGATTACACTCTCACATATAGGAACAGTTACTCACTAAGATGTGGAATCGCTACTTCTGAGAGTCCACTCAATTTTATGCATTGACTACTTTAACTGCTTAGCAGTCTCTTTTCAGATGTATTAATATATTTGAAAAATTTACACAGAGGAGTTTTTTTAATATTTTTATTACTCAGTAATTTAACTTATAAAGTAAAATAACTCAAGTAGTAACCAAATAGGAATGCAGACAAAAAAATTAACCAGGATGTTAACTTTGAAATAATATTATAACCCATATATGGCAAGTCCTTAAATTGAAGTAAATATACTGAAAAAATTAAAAAGAAAAAAATTGCTTTCGGTATAAAAAAACATATCGAGTTGAGGCGGAGTTGTTCATACCGTTTTTGCCAAATCCTTAGAAAATTAAACGCAAATTCCAACCAAGTTATATAGGAAAACTTTGAACAAGTTCAGTATATACACTCTGCAAAAGGGGTAACTGACGCACGGGCTGAGTAAATCAATGACACAGATCTACAGTGATTTTGATGTTGAAAGCTGTTTGCTTATTTGTATATTTTTGGGGGCCCTTTTTAAAAAAAAAACCGCTCTATCACGTCATATTTTTTATAGCTCTTTTGATCTTAAACATTTTATTTTAATAATATACATTCCGACAACATGAATATGTTTGTTACATGTTAGGAATGATTTTTAAATTAATGGATTTTTATGAAATTAGATGTGATAATATTAGATTTACCTGCAAAGCAACAAAGTTGGGGCAGAAGCGTCAATACAGCGTTTTGTTGTCGTCGTGTTCGCGGCTGTTGTATTCGTTGTGCGTATTTCTAGTGTTCGAGAAGGTATAAATATGGCAAGAAGATATTATGTGGTTAATCCAAATAACTTTGGTAGTCATGTCGTAATGTAGCAAAGGCAAATTACAACTTCTTTTGTTAAAATGTATACCACGCTTATTTTGGTATATCGGCGACCGAACAAGTCCTGGGCTCCTCATAATGTTCGCCCCATTTGTGTTGAATCATTAAGAAACTGGCAAAATGGTAGGAAGCAATGTTTAAGATTTGTGTTCCCTGTGGTATGGCGAAAGCCTAGGAATCACAGTGATGATTCTTATTTTTGTTCGTGTAATATTCAAGGATTCAAGAGAAAAAAGACGAAACACTAGAGCTAATTAAATGATTTAATTAGAGATTTGCACCTTTCAAAGGATACTGGCACCTGGCGTCACATCAAGCTTTTACCGGGATCCCGAAAAATATTTTACTCAGGATGAACCGTTAGTGTATTGTAACAATATTCCTGACTTAGTTAAAAATTAGAAAATGTGCCGTATATTAAAGAAAAATGGCGGCTGTTTATTGACTTAAATAAGCGTAGTTGAAAATGGGTTTTATTGCACAATGGGAACGAACCGACCTCGGTTCCCGTTGCGCAATCGGTACATTTAAAAGAACCTTATGAAAATTTAGGACTTCTTTTGAAGAAAATAAACTACCAAGATATTTTGTGGTGACCTGAATGTGGCTGTGCATGCTCCAAGAATAACAGGGGGTTATAAAAAATTTCAATGCATTATTTGTGAGTGGTATAGTCTACAACAAGACTTACACCCATTAGCAAAAATGTATTAAGAGATAGCTTAGTTGCCCCACCGAAGTTTTACTTTCTCTTCTTCATATCACACTTCGCTTAATGAGGCATTAGACAAAACAGGCCAGGGAGAAATTTCCAGCCATATTTGATGCCGAGATAAAAGAAGGTATTTTTGTTGGGCCACAGATAAGAACGTTATGCAAAGACAAGGATTTTTAAAACATAATGACCAATGTAGAGAAAAACGCCTGAGTTTCATTTAAAGAAATAATTTAAATGTTTCTTAGACTCTGAAGGATGAAAACTATGAAAGTATTGTTAAAAATATGTTGCAACACTTTCATATTCTAAGTTATAATATGAGTTTGAGTGCATGTCCTGTTTTCTTGGAGAGGTTAGCGAAGAACGGGGAGAGAGCTTTCACCAGGATATTTCCAAGGCAGATGGAGCATAACGATGATGGCGGACTACTGCTGGATGTTAAAATGGGATATGCCGTCAAAAACACACAGAATGTCAGAATAGCGCTGGCAAGAAGACGAAGATATAACTTAAAAAAGCATGAGTACAGTTTTTTTCGACTAATATTCCACCTTTTGCCGAATAAAAAAATGATTTATTTTAGGAATATTGTTTTTTTTTTTCAAAAAAAAACCATACCAAAATTATAAAAAATAAAAACATCTGTCAAAAAGCTTACTTTTGTAGACTTGTGTTATCAATGATCGTCATGAGTTGCAGAATTTCATTTTCGTTTCTTTCAAACGTGTCAAATGTCATAACAAAATATTGAGTTCGAAGGCGTGTTAGATTTATTTAGAGCTGACGTCTTCCAATTAAATCGTAATATAATTTAAATTTCGCTTTCGGTAAACATTAAACAACGGCGCCATTCAAAATAAAGCCTTAATACGATAAACTTAACACAACGTCTTATGCGAGGTACTTTTATTCCCTCGGAATCCAGGAGAACATCTCCAAAGGGGGAATAGATTGTTGTCCTTTTCCTAATTCGTAATATACTTACTCCATTTACGTTCATTTTCTTTATGCTCGCTGCCCCCAAAATACCCAAGCACAATGGAGAAATCTTGTTTGTGTTAGTGACAGACCGGAGAATCCGTCGAGGTCGTGGCAATGTACTATACATACAAATTGCCATAATGAAAATATTATGAAAAGCGGCGCGAGAGCTTCGGGTTGTGTGGAAGTATCCACAATCAATATTCCAGTTTCGACTTTGTATTCAATAGAAGTTTTGAATTATAAAAAGTTTACCGATAAAAAAACCGTCGCGTCTGAGACGTGACGTCTTCTCTCTGAAAATCTTAACAAGACCTAACCGAAAGATGAATAAACGAAAGATTTGGCTGAGGGAATGAAAATTATTTTTTTTTTATGACACGAACCCGGAAAGCTTCTTCGAATTTTATTTTACGTGTTTTTCTTCTTTTCTTCTTTGGGTCAATAATTATAGAGGTTTCATTTTTTTTTAATTCGCAATAAGACGAAGTTTAGCAACACTACAGACGAACTTCAAAGTTATTGGTTTCCTTCCAATGTGGTTTTGCAAAAGCTCAGAAAAATTTTGTCCGCATCTCACTGGCAATAGCATCATGAATTGCTCACATAAATCAATTAAATGAAATCACAACATCACCGATAAATTCTAAACTCAGAAAGGAAATTGAATTTAAATTTCAACACCACAAAGGTAGAAATATCAGCTAACAATTTCAACAGTCATCTTTAAAACATAATCAATAGAATCAGAATTTAACTTCATAAATCATAATTTAGGTGATTCTCAACGCAATCTGAAAAATTATTTGTATAAAAATTATCCACATATCAATACGCTCCATATATTTCTGCCACAGTTTTGTTCCGTAGTTGGATTAGGTCACAAATAATTTGCATGAGCATGATGAAATCACAAAATCTGCTGCAAGTCAACCTACAGCGAAAAAACATGAAAACATATAGATATCAAAAATCAGTACAGTGTTCATGTGTACAACAGCTTATATGATCGGTTGTGAATAACTAACCAAGACTAACGTATTCAATGTGGTTTAACGAAAATATTGTATTTAGCTCTGCTCTAAGAACCCATCCCAACTAAATTAAGAGATATATTGTCAGATCATCGTTAACTGGCTCATAATGCTGAATAGTATTAGTTGTTGGTTTTTGACTAACAAATTAATGGTCAATTGCTAGAACAACGAAGCTAGAAAATGATATCAATTGGGTAGCGATCTGAGACTTCGACAAAAGTCCTTAACATTTTTATAACAAAATCAGGCATGATCAAGCATGAGCAGGTTATGTTTAGCATTGTAATTATTGTGATGATTGTAGCTTTCAGATCCGGTCTCAATATCCGCGGTATTCGCGAACTTACCCTGCATTTTTACGCATTTATTTATTGATTTGTTTTATATAAATTATTAAGCCTACCATATCCCGTATTTTGATTATACTTATAACAAAGTCTATCGATTTTACAGCTAGACATATATTCCTAATAGAAATATACTCACATAACAACTTCAATGGTAACCTTCGTTCCTTTCGAGATCTTAAACGCAAAACACACACACACACCATATAAAAGATAACTAACATCTTATCCGTCAAACAATATAGTTAAAACGTTAATATATTATTTGTCTCGCACCATCTTCAGAAAATCTGAAATGTCGACTCAAACCTTTGAAACATTCGCACAAGATATTATATCACATCGCTTTTGAACTACAAGAAAGGTTTCACCTTCTAGACTAGAACTGGCATTATTTCCCCTCCTTAATTAGTTAAAATAATATACAAAAATATATTATACAGTATTTACCCTAAAAGATATACAGTATTTACAGGTTCAATTAGAAGCCGAATAATGTTTGTTAATTTCCTGCTGCGATGTTTAGGAAAATTGTTTCTGTCAACTCAGGTAATACGCCACAAGCAGGAGGACGAGCTTTTGCAAATGACAAGTTCTGGCAACGGAGCCGTCTGAAACAAAAAATTGGATTTAGAAATAAGTTAATTTTCTTTCATCATATATTAATCAGAATAGAAGAAAGAAAACAGCGTCAACGATGGTCAAAATTTTCAGGAATTTATTTAGATTGGCTTGTATTACCTCATATCTATGCTATATAGCTGTGAATTTAAAATTATATGTACAGAAAAAAGAATAAATGTATTAAAAAATATTTATATATAAGATTTTATATTTTCTGTATATAACAATAATAATATAATAATAACAAACTTGAATTATTAATAATACATAATATATACAAATCATATTTTGCGAACTATTCAAAATTAACTACTATGGAGTTTTATCTATCTAGTAAAATTAATGTAAAGTTTATTTATAGATCATTTTATTTTTTAATATGGATCAAATAATATGGATAAATATTATGAATAGTTTTACCTTTTGCTGCTTTCAAATTATGTATCTAAAATCCTCGCATTTTTGTTGTTAAGTTATCATGTAAATATAAACTTAAAAGCTGAAACAAAGCTTCTTACGAATTAGAATTGTCAGTTATCAAAATGAAGAAGTTTCTATTTATACCTACTATTTGAAAATCATTTTTTCCGCTCTTTACATTTTCATGCTATTTTTGAAAATTTAAACTGAATTCCTATTTCGAAAAAACGTGACGAAGTCTTAAGTTTATATTTATTTACTTATAGTTTTTATAATATAAATTAATAAAAACTGCTTTGCGAAATTACTAATTTTGAATTATAATTCCTATCTGCATTTTTCGTTAAGATAGTTATACCTATTAAACAAATTATCAAACTTTTGTAATTCAACAGAAGTAGGTATATTTTTGTCACTATTGCAACGGTAGTTAATTTTGTCTGTGTATGTAGGCTTGTGTTGGAAAGGTAATACTTTTGACCAAGGATGGTCGCCCTCAACGACCTAGCCAGTGAGTGGTCGGCGATGACTGGTTAGCGCAAAACACTCAATTCAAAGCAATCAAATCTAAATTTTTCTTAGCAGATTGCCATCTGCATAACTAAAATACCCCAGACGAGTAAAAGAAGGTCTTCAGAATATCGCATAGGAAGTAGAGATCCTAAAAAGCATAGTCTCTGTCTATGTCCAACTGTCCAATGTACCATGACTATTGTCAGAAGAACGCTTAATTGAACTCGACTATGAATTGGAAAATATAAAATGGGATATAGTTGGCTCAGCGAAGTTAGGAAGCGTCAAATCTGGCGACAAGCCGTGTTACGCAGGAGAAGAGGACAACTCGGAGAGAAGAAAGAAGAACCGGATTTCTAATACATGAAGGAGTAATAGGCCTTGTACTCAGTTTAAACACAAGATAAAAATTATTCAGGTATATGCACTGAGAACATAGCACACGGATGAAGAGTATGTTTTATGGGGATTTTGAATCAAGCACCAGGGCAACATTGCTGGGATACTTGCCAAAAAACAACCTGATAAATTAAATGAATAGTTTCTTCTAGAAGAAACTGAACGGAAGATGGACGTGGATGAAAAGTCCAGATGGTAGTACGAGAAACGAAATAGATATTATAATTACTGGCAAAACACTCATAAACAGAGACGTATCAGTCTTAAACTGGATAAGTGCTAAAAGTGATCTCAGAATGGTGAGAGCCAAGCTATGGCAAAGAACGACACCGCAAGATAAAAAAAAAACCGACAACAGCGTCCCAAGGACGAATCCAATAGACAATGTTTACAACAGTGTATCACCGAAAGGCTAACCGGGAGCGAATCGGAAGAAACTATAAACAGCTTAAATTAGATAAAAAAAGTTTTGGTCCAAGTGAACGAAAAAAGAAAAACTCTGCCAAGCTACTAAACAGCTAATTGAAAGGAAGATTATGAAAGCAGAGAACTGACTACTGATGAAGAGCTAAAAGCTAGCTAGCATCCAAAGGCAGGAGGCGATCCTTGAATCAACTAACAGTAAAAAAGAAAGAGAAATCTCCAAAGCGGAAAAAGACAAATGGTCAAAATGAAAGATCGACGGGGACGGATTACAAAAAATAGAGAAGGGATATTTTAATTAGTTGAGCGAATTATACAAGTCAGAAGTCAACATGGAGTCAGAGAAAAAAGGGCATAATCAACCAGGGATCAAAAGCGCTGTTAAAATTGGTGAGAGAGATTGGTTTCTGCCTTCGTAGATTTTAAGAAGGTTTTTGAAACAGTTGTAGTTTGCCGATATACTAGACTGAAATTTAATATAAGCAAAAACGCAACTATTAAGGTAAAACTGCATGAGAATACTAACACCACTTCAAACGGTAGATGAGTGCGGTAGGGTGATAGAATGTCGCGACAACTATTTAATGTCGTATAAGGATATGCGTCAAAAAATCCAAATATTGAGGGCAAGGGAAAGCGCTTAACAAATCTGCATTTTGCGTTCGACATAATATTAGAGCGTATTCAGACAATGTTCTGAGAACTCCAGGTAGTGTATTGTGGTGGACTGAAACATCAACTTCTTCAAAACCAAACAAACCTGTGGAAATATGACTGTCAGTGTTCATAAGATAGAATGACAAGGGCCCACTAAACCTGCGAACTGAAAAGAAGTATAACACTTTCCTGGGTTGCTTATGGAAAATAGGTATTTAAATCAGAAGTGTCAATAGCAATGAAACGGAAGGTTTTTTATCGGCGTGTGCCGCCAGTCATGATTTATGGTGCAAAAACTCCGACTGTTACAACGTCATCGGCTAAAAAACTGATATCAATTCAGCGAAAAATGGAAAAATCAGCTACGTCATTATTTAGCTAAAGTGGAACTGGGCTGGTCATGTTGCCCCATTGACAGATGGAAAATGGGCGAGGAGACTACTCGAATGGATACCAACAGCGAACAGGAGAAGTAAAGGAAAACTTCCCACTTCTTGGATCGACGTTATCAAAAAATTAATGACAATTGGATGTAGAGCTCTTTGAACAGTATTCAGTGGAAAATAATGGGAGACGCCTACATCCAGCCATGGATGCAAAGAAGTAATAATACAAAGGCAGTAATAAGCAGGTAAAACGAACTGTAGTACGAGTAAACCATATATTCCATAATAATAAACAATGAAAGACAATGAAATGGTATAATTTTTTATAATTTTGGGAAAGGCTATTTTGTACTTTGCTATTTGTTAAACTAACTACAGGGTAATTGATTCTGAAAATGTTGTTTATCACAATGGAATTCCTGTGTAACGGAAAAAAAACTAAACCACTGTCCGAAGACCACAGTTGTTAGTTTTTCTAAGAAATCTTTTCTTGCTGCTTTGCTCTCATATACGCGTAGGTGGAAAAGAAAAGAGTAAGTAAAAATTGAAAATACGCTATCGCGTTTCATCAAATGACTCAACAAAAGGAGACCATATTGACCTCCGCCTGACGCTTCGTGAAATCCGGCAATCCAATTAAATTCTTGCGATCTAATATTTCCACACACTATTAACTGCTCGATGTTGTTCCAGGTCTAATGTGCAACACACGCAGCCATAACTTTAAATAGGTAATGTACTTAATTTACTGATGATCGGGTTCGTAAATGACTGCGGCTTAAATAACATTATCAATTCCCTTGTTGCCCAATCGACGGTTATGCATTCGTTCATTAGATGAATTATCTTTGAATCGATTTTATTTGCCGATAATTCCGGTTCCCTCATGCGAATATATGTTCATATATATGTTTATTAGATGAGTGGATGGGGTAGTAAGCACGTCAGGTAATCCAGGAAGATCCTTGACAATGACTACTGGCCTGCGCGCACTGAGCAGTATCGGTTTGTTCTTTGTCAGCCATATTAGAAAGAAACAACAATTTCAAGTAGATTTGGAACATTGGCTGTTTGCATTTAATAAAGTTTGACATTGCTTTCGGTTAAACCGGAAGTTTTATGTCTTTCTTATACTATATTAAAAAATTAAACCAAGTAGAAGGGTACCTACATCTTGTGTCACAATATGAAGGAATATAGAAGAAATGGCAAATAATTGCGAATTGAGTATGTGAATTTGAATAGCTCTTTATTTGTATTCAAACTGTAATTTCTTGTTGAGTGTTGAGTGAAAATATAAAAAAAATAGTTCTCACTTAATAATAATCTTCTTTTTAGAAAGGTTAAGACGCAGGGGATTTTTATTAAGCCAATTAAAATTTTCGTTGTACACATTAATAACAAAACTACGGGCGCACAAATCTCTTAAAGTGGCAACGAAATTGGTTGAATTGAAGGTGTTTATATTTAGTAACTTTTATTTAGTTTAGTTAAATTTGACGCAATAAAGATATTTAGTTGGCTCCAAATTGCACAGTATTAACATTTTTAACTAAACTAACAAAAAACTGTTTGCAACTGGGTCCACATATTGCAATCTGTTGTCAATTATTATATCTTTTTGTAACATATACTTATATATACATATCATCAATGTACCTATCCTTTTTAAGGCTTTGTGTTGTGTGTTGTGTTCTCGCTATAATGGTTATGAAATAGGCTAACGAAAACTTACCAAAATTAACCAAAAATGGTCGGAAATTCAAAAATCCTTTTTGAGAGATTGAGAAAATCTTATTGCTCGTATTTTCGGGGGAATTATAACTCGCGGATGATTTTCAGTCATTCCAACGAATCGGTTAGAAGATACGTGGCTTTATAAGTGTAATAAAATGTCATATACGCATAAGAACCTCATAGTTGGCTATAACAGCGTATTAAATTTTATCTAGATTAGGCTGTCAGTTCATACTTTAACGTACGCGACGTTGTCAGAACTTTGTAATTAAAGTCGGTTTCTAAATCCCCGCTTTTCAAATTTTTATTAAATCTGGGGCTTTGCTGTAGATGATGCATCCCCGTTTCTTTATGAAAACTAGTGAATGTGACGTTATGAGTAGCGCATAGCCCAGCCTATAATGACGACAGTCTAATCAGAATATTTGGATTGACATTTAACCGTCACTTTCATTATAGCACACGTATAATACAGATGATCTATTTCATCTGTGGTGGTCTTTTATGCGTAACATTGTAATCAACCAGTGAACTCGACCTAAACTAGAATAAATCCAAATTTATAGAAAATCGATTTGCGAAGCCAATTTTAATGGAAAATGATTGAACTGAGGTGGATTTTACTTGATGAAAATCCATTTATCAAAATAAATAAGAACTAAAAGTTCAGATTTTCACGAAATTATATATTTTCACATGACAATTGTTTCGACAACACCGTGTCTTTATCAAATGACATTTGATAAAGACACGGTGTTGTCGAAACAATTGTCATGTCATAATACAGGGTGCTTCAAAAAAATGTATACACACTTTGAACTTCCATAGAAAATTTATTTACCGTTCTACAAAGTTAAATTTCAGGAAAATAGAAAGCTGAAAGTCCAATGTAAATGAAACATAAATAACAAATGTTAATACTGTTCAAATTGGTGACCTGCAGCATCAATACAATTCTGAGTACGAGTCACCACTGATTCTGTACATCGTATCAAAACGTCCAATGAGATTTCTCTACACACTGCTTGAATCTCATTCCAAAGAATGTCTAGGTTACGTAGTTTACGTTTGTACACCTAATCTTTTACTGTGCCCCACAAGAAGAAATCCAGTGGTGTAAGGTCTGGAGAGCGTGCTGGAAACTCGATTGGCCCCCTGCGTCCTATCCACCGGCACAACAAATTTTGATCCAGGTAAGCTCGTACGTCTCTGTGATAGTGCGGCGGAGCACCATCTTGTTGAAAATAAAAATCATCATTACCGTATAATGCACGAATGGCAGGAAATATGCAATCAGCAAGCATTGTTAGGTAATTAATACCAGTTACAGTGCCTTCAAATCGAAAAGGTCCAATGAGTCCTCTTGAAGACAAACCGCACCACACACTTACAGCTTTTTCAATTGTAATGTGAGGATTTTCTTCACCCCAGTAAACACAATTGTGCCTATTGACAGTTCCATTAAGTTTGAATTGGGCTTCACGTATCACCAACTCCTGAATCCATTCACAAAATTGCAACCTTCGATCTGGATCGTCGTCATTTAGCTGTTGCACCTGCCTTGGATACTTGCCTCTCTTCAGAATGCGTAGCACGCTGCTAGCACTTACATCACTTTCACGTGCCCCTTGCCTTGAAGATTTGTTAGGAGAGCGTTGAAACAGTTCCAAGACTGCCGTTGATGACTCATCACTTGTAGCTGTTCGAGGCCGACCTGAATGACCTATATGCACATCACACACTGTTCCATGAACTTCGAATTTGTCTCGTATGCGTGGAATTGTTAATCTTGAAGGTGGTTCTGTATCCTACTACCTTCTCCACTGTCTTTGAACTTCATTTACATTCTCAAACTTCCAGTACCACTTAATAACCTGCTTACGTTCTTCAAAACTCAAACGTACGTTCCCCATGTTGATATTACAAATTCCATCTGATAATATAACATAGAGGGACGATTATGCTGGCACCTGGCGAAGAAATATAACATTAGCCTTGTAGAGCGGGAAAACTACAATAGTTTAAAGTGTGTATACATTTTTTTTGAAGCACCCTGTATATAATTTTGTGAAAATCTTAACTTTTAGTTCTTATTTATTTTGAAAAATGATTTCATTAAGGGATGCCCCATATTATTTTCCTGACTGTTTGGGAATTTTCGAGGGCAAATGTTTTCCAAGGGGTATTTTTAAATTTAAATTTAAAGCAGCTCTGATATAAAAAATATATAATATAATATCCAAAAATCCAAAATTAATCTTCAGTTTGGTATTCTTTCATTATTGATTTAGTAATCACAAAAATAAAAAAAAGGATAAAACATTTTGGTTAACATTTAGGTACATATGTCTGTAGTCTTTTTTGAAATTATACTACTGAAAAAGACATACTGCTATTTTCTGACTGATATTTTTTTTAAAACATAGCAAAGATTTACATATTTTAAATTCCGTATATCAATTTATAACCCCGTTTTTCTAAGAAGTCATGTTGTGTAACTATTGTTAGATAATGAAATATTTCATTTCAATGAGCAAAAAAAACAAGCATCCCCATTCCTATTGTAAAATTCGTCTCGCTTTTCTATCACGCTGAGGCTATTCCAGTTTACATCGAGTATCCAGCATTAATACAATGTCAAAAAGATTGGCAGGTATTAAAACACAATTCTTCCCACTTTTAAGTCAAAAGAATCTGTCTCAGCCAATGCATTTATAATTTATTTCACAGTTGAAAATGATTGCGTCTTTCACTAGTTCATTTCGATTCCATCAACCGCAGTTTTTTTTTAATTTTTATATTTAAGAGGTTTTTTATATGTAAGTTACAAGAAGAAAATAATCTAAACATTTACCGGACGTATTACCTGATGACTGGCCAGGCGTTCCCAAAACAGAAGAAGGTCGAGGCTTGGGTCTATCGTCCTCTATATACTTGACTTCTTCCCGTCGATATAGATTAAACAATTTCGCAATACACTGCAGTCTCGCTATTCCCGACTGAAACAGGAAAATCAGGTACCAATTAAGCTAAATAATTATCGCAGTATAAAGCGGATATAATGCCTTACCTGGAACACGGTGTCATCTATTTCAGTCTCTATATAGGAAACAGTTGATAGTGGCACCCGTCTAATTTTCGAGTATGACGATGTCCGGTCGCTACTAACGCGTTTGAAAGCACTTGCGTTAATCTGAAATTAAAGCACAGCCTCAGAAAAAGGTTCAACTAATCTTCAAAAGTCGCACACAAAATGGTACAATAATTTTATACTGTTAATTTCGGTTAGTATAGTTATATTATATTCTGTTTTAAAAAAAGACTCTGAACCATCTGGATTTTTCTTTCCCTGTAAAAAAGACAAAAATTTTGAAAACCCAAAACTTGATAACAAAAGTTATAATGTTGTGACAAATTTATATTTAACATAAAATAGAGACAAATTGATTACTTGGAATCAGTAAATAATAAGAATAAAACTATAAGGACTCAATTCAACTCCGAAGTCGATGTTTCAAAAATTATTATTTGTATAATGTTAGATGTGCATCGCCCACACGGGCATCATCAAACCAATAAAAGCAATTTTCTGAAATGATAAAATAACTTACAGCATACAGACATAAATTGGAATGAGACCCAATCCGTTCGATTTTAACGAGATATAAAAAATGAAATAACAAATGTTGCGATTAAGAAGTAAAAAATATAAAAAATATAACAGAATTACACCGAAGACCTGCAGCTTATATTATTAAACCTTAAAGTAGACTCAAAATTAAAAACTTCATTCACGCAATCAAGAATATGACTCTTTTTGGCTTTGGTGATATCTAATTTCTCCAGAAGATCAAGCAATAGGCACCAGTACTTGTTTTTGAATATTTAAACACTTCAAAGTTTTAAGATATTATGTACGGGATTATAATTTTGATAGGTGGCAAGGAGCAGCATCATAGTAAATTGTATCAAATTCGATTGGAATGTACACTAAAGACCCAAAAAGTGGTTATCTGAATCACACATTGTAGTTGATGACGCAAGGTAAAACATGCCACGGATGGAATACATATTCCAAAAATAAAATGAAGTGCAGTGTTAGCAAAAGCAGCTTACGATTACGGTATCCTATGAAACCCAAAAAATACTGAACCATTCATTTTGTCCAGTGCTAGCGATCATTTTACCAGGTTATGGTACGATAATACTGTTTCCTGTCGTTAATAAACAAAAACACCCGAGTCCACAAAGGTATGTCAGCAAACCAAAGATTTTATGGGAAATCATTAAGCAAGCAACCTCTGTTTTTTTTTTTTAGTTTGCCGCGACGGTTATTTCGACAAATCCGGAAGAGGTAACAACGTGTGCGTGTTTCCCTCGAATTTCAGCCCGACGTTAATGAAACAATAGCTTAATGAAATTGCTAAAGGTGCAATTTCATTAGAAGCTTAATCAATTACGGAAAAAAGCGCTTCCGCCGGCGGGAAAACTGTTGATTTTTCATTTAACCGAGGAAACTAAACGAAATCTAATTGAGGCAAGATATAAATTTGCCATAAACTCACTGCGACTTTCATTTTCTAGCTGTTTTCTGAATTTGATAACTGGTCGAGATAAATAATTGGAAAAGGTATTTAATAGTATATTGCGCAACAAGTTTAATAAGCGCCATTTTAGTCACGAGCTTGTTGTGGCACGAGATGGGCGAGGGCTTATTAAACGAGTCACTGAAGAAGTTTATCTACATGTCCCATTCTACGAGCGTTGGTTTTTGTGACGTAACCGTCAGAATTAACAAACGTCAAAATTACACGGCTAAATTACCAACAATGTTCAAAGTGGCTCACCACCGTGGGTAACAAAGTGAAAGTATCAATTACTGAACGCTTGATATGGGCATAATTGGTATTTTAGAGCAGGGAGTAAAATAATAATTTAAGTTGAGTTTTTGTTTACCTTCGAATCATCTGTTAAGTAAAAGCAAAACATTCGACGAGTATACCACAGAGGGAAGAGTGAATATGTATATATTAATTTAATTACTAATATATTCCATTGATTCCATAGAAATTGAAAGAATACAGAATATTATGGTAATTTTTCGAATAAGATGGAGCCGGGTAGTCGGATAGCAAATTAAAAGATTTCGGTTGGTTGAATATATTTTGTCTCTAAAATTATTAAATTTAAAATGCCCTCATATTTACATAATCGACTTGCACACAGACGTTCATGGAATAGAATTAAGAAGGTGGCATATTTTGACCAATTCAAAACAGTAAAGAAATATTTAAGATGAGTTTGTGATATTGCGTATCTTGTTTCAATTGTTCAATTTTAAGATATCACCCTAAGCATGTAACAATTATATAGAATCTGTTGTTATTGTTCGTCAGTACATTTTATCTCTCTCGGTGTCATCTTTTCGTTTTTTTGAAATTTTTATGTTTTATTTTAGATTAAAAATTGAAAACTTTTTATTTTGTGATGTAAAATCAACCCATAGAAAGTTTCTGTCGCCCCAACCACAGATGCTGCTACCCCTGCAGGTTGTTCTATTTGTTGAAATGTTTTGTAAATTTGCTGAAGGGAATAATCTATCTCATGTTATTGTTAATATTATTATTATTGTTACTATTCCTGTGAATCCCTTGTAATTCTTCTGCATTTCCTGCGAGTTGTTCAGAATTTCTTCATACTGGCACACGAGAATTCCTTTTCCAGTTTATTCCCTGAAAATATCCAAAGAAAAATCCGAAGATAATCCGTCGAGATTTTTTTTTCTCCTTCCTACTCCAAAATTAGTTAAATTAACATTTACTCTGAGAATTCATTCATCAAAAACTGACTTGTGACTAAAGCGTCGTTTAACAAACTTTGTTGTTGTTTACTAATTAGTTATTAACTGAGGTTGCAATAACGCACATTTTTTTAATTCGTTAATTGATTAAAATATATAATTTACCTCATTGATTAAATATGTGGGTACAAGTTTTAGAAATAAGTAAATTTCATTTCAAAGAATATTTTTAAGGAAATTCATTTTTTTTTTTCAAAAATTTGGTAATTACTATCGCTAATGGCAGGCGGACTGGTACCGCTAAGGTGTAATATGAACTTTTTAATTGAGCAGGAAATCGCAAGTTTCATAAGTAGTCCTTTTCTAAACGACATACGCTCATTCTCATAGAGTTCGCGCTTGCTACTCAACGTACACTTATTCGTAATGCCTAAAGAAGCCGGAGCTAACGTATAAAGGTTATAAATCATAACGTAAACTTCCAAACAGATTATCTAGGAGCATATTCCCCGAAGCAAGTTTGTATAGTTCGTTTAAGAAAGCAGGTGAAAATTCCCAATGGAGAGTTATTTCTAGAATCCATTGGACTGTGCGCTAATAATTTTCCTTCCACTGCGGGGAATATCATTTTTCTTCCTAGAACGTAAATTTTAATTATAAATTCAACGAATTCCCGGATGGGGAGTTTTTCCCGAGTTTATTCTATTCAATTGTAGTCAAATATTGCATTTCATGCCGCAATTCAACAAGTTGACCCGACTTTTGGAAATTGTGTGCATTTATATGCGCACAACGCAAACGTAACAAGGCAAAAAAATGCGTGGTACCGTTTTATCATTATGCCATTTAGCTCATTTTCAAGTTGTTTGCGCAAAAAAATAAAATATCAAAAGATAACGGGAAAGTTAAACGCAATTAAAGGAAAGCTTACGTTGCATTGTTTGTTATTTTAATATCGTTGTGTACGCCCTTGGTAGATTAAACTTAACCAGTTTAAAAGGTTGAATAAATTTGGGATTTAAATGAGAAGCGAGCTACCACTCTATAAATGTGCAAATCTTTAAAGATTTATTTGACAAAACCAAGATTTTCCAACAATCCTTCGTTGTCCTGATACCGATAAGTTTGAAATGAAACAATCCGAATAAAAAATATCTGCCATATGTTGGTTTTTTTAATATAGATGAACCATACTAAAAACTTTGCATATTCACTTTCAACTGACCAATAATAGAAAACAATAAACTCAAACACTTTAAGTTACTGTCCTATTACTTAGTACTGTAGTAGATTACAATGTTCGTATGTTCCTGGTAGCATATTTTTTCTTGACACAAATATTACAAATATTTGTGTAATGTGCGGTAAATCCCAAATTATTTTTCCTATTTTTTACTACGCTTGTTTTCATGAGAAAAATATGTATTTATTTTCATACCACATTACAAAAAGGAGTTTGGAGTGCACTTTTGTTAAACTATCTACTGCAGCAACGTTACATCTATAGACAAATGCTAAAAACTATCGTCGTAATTGAATGTGGAGGGTGTCTCGGAAAATGTGATAAATATTTAGTATTCAGATACAATACGAAAAAGTTACATGACAAGTCCTTTTTTATTCCAACAGAGCCCGTACTTTTAATAATAGCACATAGTAGTAGTCATAAAACAGTTATCTCGAAACATATTTATTTCATCAGTAGTGGATTAGGTTGTATACTGGAACAGATAATATTTTAATACTCTGTATGATAAAGACCAGAAAAATTATTTTGAGGCAATGGGGTTTAATTAAACCTTCAATTGGGTACTGGTTAATATCGATAAGGTGGTGGGGAAAGGAAATAACGAATTAAAGTTCCATTTGTTAATAGTATATTATGCAACAAGTGCGGTAAACGACATTTGACTCACGAGTATATTTGACACGAACGAAGCGAGTGTTTCATAAACGAGGGACTTAAAAAGTTTATCAAACGTGTTGCATACTGTACTTTTTCTACGACCGGAAAATTCTGGAAATATCCGAAGTGGCTCGGATCCGGGGGAAACGACACTGATGTGGTAAAGTAATGCTTCCCGCATGCTCGATCGGCGTGTAATTAGGTATTTTAGAGAGGGGAGTAGAAAAATGGCATTTGACTCACGAGTTCATTTGGTACGAGCGGAGCGAGTGTTTAATAAACGAGTGATTATAGTATATTATGCAACAAGTGCGTTCAACGGCATTTGACTTACGAGTCCATTTGGCACGAGCGGAGCGAGCATTTAATAAACCAATGATTTATAGTATATTATGCAACAAGTGCAGTAAATGGCATTTAACGAAACTGGCGCTTCGCGCACGTTAGATCGGTATGTAATTAAGCATTTTACAGAGGGGAGTAGAAA